CCCTCTTTGCCCTTATCTTGAAGTAAGGCTCTTGAAAGAACCACTTAACAAACAAAGATAACTTATATAGAGAAAATCAAAAGCCATTCTTGTTACCATTCAAACAAAGTTTTTTGGATCGATCATACTATAATGCAAACAAACATGAGAAAAATAAGGTTTTAATGAATGTGTCATGTGAAGGAGACACAAATATATTTGTAGCATAGACCTATCAATATGCTCCCAAGTTTTTTGTTTGGAACTACATATTTGGGAACTACAAACATTGTATGAACACCTCGAATTCAGACGAAACCTTAAATTTTGTAAATCCCTATGCACTTTGATGAATTTTCATTTCTTTTTGCACTTGACCATTTCTTACATGCATGAAAGAGGATGAGTTCTAGTCTATTTACTATGATCTGCAAATCCCATTTTTTGATGGAGATCAATTATGAGAGTTTTCTCAATTGAAATGAGACAACAATCTTTGTTCCAAGAACCATGCCGAAGTAGAGGTTTTAATTGAGGGTATGAAACATCCTATCAAGAAGCATGGTCTTTTGAATGGACCCACAAATAAAACATTTTGTCACGTACGAACAAGATTGTGAGAAATCGTAAAATCATTATTATTGATATGGGCCTTTCTCAACCGAAAATAGAAAGGGCTATCTACCACAAGCCAATCATGCACTCGAGGAAACATCTCTTCAATATCAGCATTGAGTTGTATGTTATTTATTCGATCATAGACATGTTTAGAACACCTCTAGCATGAAACGAAACTCAATTAACGGCTTTTGAGATCATCGTGCATGGATACGTAAGCACGTATGTACATATACTATATAAAATTTAATATATTTTCATGGAATCAGTGCGCATAGAAAACTTGATGGGGATGTGCACTAAGCAAATAGAATCTCTAATAATTTATCATCTACACTTACAAATAAGATTAGGGCGGTAATAAGATTCTCTTCTAATACAGTAAATATAGTAAGTATTTTCAATAATATATCCAAAAATCATAATCAAGGGGGGTTTTATCTCAATGGATTATTTGAATTATGATAGTTTTTATTCCATATATCCGGCGCATTTCTGCAATTCTTATGTCCGGCTAACAACTGTTTCCTAGATTTCATTCTATTATATGCCCGCTGTTGTGACACAATCAAGCTTAAAGAAAACTGTCCCTAGACTCGGTTTCAGCATGGTAGAAATGGTCGACTAGAACCGAGCACGAAGGGTAGGCATGATTCGGTTAGCTTACTTGAGAAATCTCGTGGACTAGTTCGTGTGCATTGTTTATTTTTCTAGCCTTGCTCGAAAGGTCCACTAGCTTGAGAGGCGCGGATGTAGGGTGATGCCACGGTGGGTAAGTTGCCGGTCAGCATAACTCATGTCCACCCATTTGGGATGATAAATGAATGTATAATTTCTAATAAGATAGATAAAATATAGAACAAGCACAAGTGTCATGGATCAACGATAAATAAAGAGAGAGATGACTCAAGTGGTTGAGACATAGCTTCTGTGAATATCAAATAATTTTTGTGCAATATACATACAATGGCTAGGCTAGACAAGTTTATAAACAAAACCACAGTGACAAACTGTCTTAACACTCTTAACTTTCTACTTTCGATTGAAACATACGACCCCTCAAATCATACAAGATGTTACACCTATAAATTACGCAGCATACGCTCGACGAAGATGATCTCACATTGGCCGACTTGACTAGTTATACTTCGAAGTCCGACCCGCACATGAATGTACGACTCAGACTTGGGGGAGTATTGTTACACTTATATATTTCGTGGTATCAACTATTTAATAGAGTGAACTTATTTAATCAAGTCGGATATTTTTGGGCCTAAGCTTGGGTCCGGCCTACATGTTCATTTATATTTCTTATATATGTGTGATTCATATCATAATTAAGGTACGTTCTTTAACCCGATCCAAATTCTCTCACCCTCTCTTGCTCTTTTCCTCTCGTCCGGCTGTTGACTTGATTGTTAGAGTGCAAACGGTCGTTGGACATTTTTCTTGACCGGCAGTCATTGCCTCCTAACGGGGTGTTCAGTGTGCAGGTGATGTCNTATTACACATATATTTTCCTCGTCCGTCAGTTGACTTGATCGTCGGAATGCGAACGGTCGCTGCACATTTTTCTTGACCGGCGGCCTTTGCCGTCTAACGGGGTGTTCAGTGTGCAGGTGATGTCCACGTGGAGGGGACGAGTAGGGATTCTGTTGGCTCATTTTTTAAGGTCAACACAAGATATTAGGGTGGAGGGTGTTTTGAATTTAGACCCTGTTTGTTTCATATTAAAATCTGATTTTAATTTAAGTCAAAATGAAATAATTAATATTAACCATATCTTTCATGAATCTCACAACTTTTCAACCACACATTTCAAAAACTTCTATCATAATTTACTAAAAATTTAATTTTAATATCCACCAAACCCACTTACTAAACTTCATTTCAAGTTGATCGCCAAACTTTTACGTTAACTTGAAGTTGGTCAATTGATGCAGGTCCATCTGTTTGATTACCCAAAAAGGTGATGCGACATCTTAGTTGAAAGCCTAATTCGTAAATATCTAGACCTTGACAGACCACATTTTTAGATTTCTTGCAAAATGGTTGAAAACTGAAAAGAGTTGAACTCGAAAATACCATTTTCAAGGTTTGCGTAAAATTAAAGTTTGCAATCTCAAGATCTCATCGACGAACATTATATATCCACATGTTTTTTCTACGACCGTGTGTTTGTTCATACACGAGTTGTTAGTTGTGAATGTTTTCATAGTTACATCGATAAATTGAAGGTATGAGAGTTTATATATACTCTCATTGAACAAAACAGAAATGGTAAACTGGTACATTCAGGTCAACTGCCTCCATGCAATATATTATCTACAATCTTGCCTAGCTTCACTTGTTTGTAATATTATGATAAAAAGAAAAATATGGAATGCAAAGTATAAAATATATCTTTAAAAACACTGTAAAATATAAACAATAATACCCTTGAGACACTGTAATCCCAACACAAAATTCACAACCACATGCTTCCACGTCTACCACGGAACAGGGAGCGGCTGCAAGAACCACATATAGTTTTTAACAACTTTCACTTCTAACCTGATTCACCCGACTCCATGCCCTTTACCCCGAGCCATTCTCAGGGGTTGAGTATTTATGGTAAAGAGATTTTCTTGAACTAAAGCCAGGGGTTTTACATAAATGGATAATAGAAATTTTGATTTTACCTATTCAAAGTCCTGCATTTGAATAGGGGAGCTTAATTGACACCTTTGACACGCTTGGGATCAGATTAATGCTCTTCACTTTCGATGTGTCTTCTGCAGATTCAAGTGC